GGTGGACGTCGCTTCTCAAGGGTACCCCGCCCATCAAACAAAACCATACAAGAGCAGCCGCCCGCGCATTGCTGCCTTGCTAGATAGAAGGGGGCTGGCTCGGTGCGGCGCCCCAGGTTCATTGTCACAAAGAGCCCTAGTGCGGCCGTTCTCCAACGTGGAAAGGACGAAAGGAGAGGGGGGCAAGTGGTCGAGTGATTAGACCAAGCCCAGAGCCTCAGACAACGGGGGCCAGGGTCAAGCTTCGGACGTGAATCGTATTCCTGACAAGGAACGGTACGCGACGAAAAGGCTTAGCATGACAGCGGAACAGGTGATTCGGGTCGTAGAAAAGGAGATGATCGATGTCGTCTCATGTTTCGCAGACGTCTGAGACGTGGTTTGTGACGGATCGGCTGGACACATGCCTGCAAGGCTTGTCGCAGGATCCTGGGCGTCAGACAGGAAGCGCTCGCTTCGTCGCGGATCCGGCAACACGTCCCCTTCGTCTGGTGTCATCTGTTGTCATGACCCGTAGAGGCTGCGCTGCATCAGGCTCCATGGGGCAATTGAAGAGAGGCATGATTTCAAGAGACACTGCCTCGATGTTTCGATGAGATCTGTAGCATGTTGATCTCGCGTGTCTTGCTGGTTCCTTGACGGATAATTCAACAGCGCAGCCGGCAGACGACCCGGGTCGGACAATTGATGGTCAGGGGTCAGTTGGTTCAGAAATGAAACGAATGCTCCCCTACTCGTGCAGGGGGTTTTGCTGACGCCAGCGCTGGACGAACTATCGATAGCGTATTTGGTGGGGTCGGTGGTGCTGCTGGGTACCTAGCTGGGTAGCCATCTGTTTGTGGGCTGAATGCTGAGGATCGAGAATGTGTTCGACCAAAAACCTATATGCGAGTTCAATCGATGTCAACAATACCATTCATATCAATTGTGTCTCGACCCTTTACATGAAAGCACAAGTCTTCGGCGATTAACCAAATGCATCGTCTCCCGCCCCATGCCTCTCATGACATGTCCAGTCGCTGGTTGACATGCTAGCCAGCCCCTGTTGCTGAACTAGGTTCACACCGGCGAACCTTTAATACCCTTCAAGACCTGCTTGTAGCCGCGAACTTTGACTTGAGCACCAAGCTCCTCCGGTGTCATCGTATCTCTAGGGAGCAGCTGGTGCCAGTCTGGGAACTGTTCGCTCTAGCGAAGCTGAGAGGCAAGTTCCGAGCCGGCAATACCCCAGATGCGCTCGTATGCTTTGTCTGATACGCCCAGGTAGACCCCCTTTTGCCCTGACACGACCTACCATACGTTGACAATGTCGGTCATGTTGAGGTAGTCGGTGATCACGACGGCGACGTTGCCGAATGACATGGGTCTTACTTCCGGGTACTTTGTGCTGGCAGGCGGCAGCGAGCTCATGACATGGTCTTGTAGAGTCGAGTTGCGAGATGCAGTCTTGGCCATGGAGGTTTCCACGTATCCTGCGGGATTTTTCTGGTATCAACTAACCTGTTCTGCCAACTTCTTTGATACGTCGCTCTTGTTTCCTAGTAGCGACACGAACGGTCCAACTTGAATTGGTCCGTAAGGTTTTGCATACAGAACCCCCTGGATGCCAGTAGCACAAACTACGCATGCGACATGCATGACGAACATAAGATGGGATAGAACGAGTCAAGGAAATAAGGTCCTCTATTGTAGGTTGTGTGTGTCGCTCCTCTCGCGTAGATACAGATGAATGATAATGTACAAAATAGCAGACACAATTATTCATCCGAAGTAGCAGTTTCACAGCTCAAAATTTGATCCCCTACACCGGTGTCATGTCGCCCTGTGTTCCGACACGTCGGAATGCCGGAAGCCCGAACGCCGCGGACACGAAACCAACATCGTATTTCATTCTTCCTGTGGGTAAGCACGGCGTGGGACTCGACCCACCCCGGCTCTCGACTGCGGGGGCGGGGCGGAGCGATCGGCCGCCAGCTGCCCTCCGTGTTGCGAAGGAGACTCAAATACCCAATTGTTGGTATGTAAAGTACCCGGGATAGGGAGAGGATTGGCAACTAGATGCTCTCGGCCGTGGCTTCCGTTGTGCAGTTCGCCAAAGTCCCCACGGAAGGTTCTTCATCAGTACTGTACTGCTCTTCTTCCCGCAGGTTTTGCCTCATTCATACCATAGAAGCTGTTGTCGGGAACAGGTCAGCATCAGTAAGCTCTGCCGACGAGTTGGGACATCCAAACACCTCACGATTGACGTGGCAGACATTTCATTTAGCCCTATGAAAGGCGTCATAACGCGCGTTCCAGCATTTCCATGATGCGGAGATGTTATCAGTCGGCTAGTTTCAGGTTGGTGTGGTGTAAGCAACATGGTCTAAGAAGCTCCCACTACCATTCGCCTGACATCACGGACCTGAACACCACTACATCGAATCATAACTAGTGCAAAGCTGAACGCAACAGTCTGATCAAAGGTTACGAGAAATCGCTGCAACTACACCGATGTCGATTCGCTCAACTCCTTCCACCGAACATCCGACTCAGCCTGCTGCTGACTGAAATGCTGTCCGTAGTTCACCGCGTCCTTCCCCAAGAGCACCCGCACAGGCGGGTCATCGGCCTTGTACAGCGTCTCGATGACGGAGCCAATTTTCGCAATGTCCGACCCTCCGGACGCCGCCACCCCGCCGCTGTCCAGGTTGCCGACATGCCCTGCAATCGAGCCCACAGTCTCGCGGTATGCCTCGTCGATATCGTGCACCTTCATCGACGAGCCCATCCAATCCGTCTGCATGGCGCCGGGCTCGAGGGAGGTGACCTTGATGTTGAAGGGCGCAACCTCGGCAGCGAGCGAGATGGAGAAGCCGCTCACGGCAAACTTGGAGGCCTGGTACGCCGATAACCCGGGCGTCCCTCCTCGGCTGGCGATCGAGGACACCTGGAAAATGTGCCCGGCGCGACGGGCCCGGAAGTGTGGCAGCACCGCCTTGGTGACGTTGACGACGCCGAAGAAGTTTGTGTCAACCTGAGCGCGGAAGTCTTCTTCGGCCATGTGCTCGACAGAGGCTATGTTGGCGTAGCCGGCATTGTTGACGAGGAGGTCAATGTGGTCGAACTTGTCGAGCGCGGCGGAGACGGCTGCGCGCGCAGCCGAAGAGTCTGTGACGTCGAGGGGGTATAAGAGCAGCGTGTCGGGATATTGCGCTTGGAGGGGCTCGAGGACTTTTGGGTTGCGAGCCGTGGCAACAACCTTATCGCCTTGTGCCAGTGCGTGGTCGACGAGGGCTCGACCGAGTCCGCGGGAGGTGCCTGTGATGAACCAGACTTTCGACATTGTGAGCAGAGGGATGTTCTATCTATTTATTTGGGTCCAGATGAATTGAGGGTGCTATCGAATTCATGTAGAGAAAGTTTGGATTCCGTGTCAGACGTTTTATACTCGATTCCATCATGTCGTTGTTCGGCGCTCAATGCAGGTCGCCGGATATACCGGACTATCGGCACTCAGGGCACTGACTCGCGCAGACGTGCATGAAGGGGACAACCTCGTTCACCCATGTTACAATAGCCTTTGACGATGAAGTGATGGCGCCAGAGGACTCACAACAGAAACATGGAGACAGGTGATTGGCAGAACAGCCCGGCAGTTGCGAAAGCTCACGCCAGGGAGGTTACCCGCACGACGCTGCGGGGCAGAGGTGGCGGGCCCGGAGAGACTGCGCACCCGCAATAGATGCCGAGCTGTGATGGCGTTGTGTTTTCGGCAGGGCTACGCAACGAGTGCGTCGTCGCGGTTGGTGAAGAGCACACGTGGCTGGCAACGAAGAGATATGATCGACCGGCGCTCTCGGGTGTTGACCAGCAGTGGACCACGCAGCTTGATGTGGGCAGCAATAATTTGTTGTTTCTTTCGGCACGGTTTGTCATGGAGTCGAGCATCGAGGACCCCGTCCTGTCTTGTGATACTTTCCCTTCCCCAGAGTATGGTTGACGACATTTGAACTGCCTACCATGCCATTCCGGAAACCTCTCCTCGATCGCTAACTGCAAGAGCAATAATGGCTCAGCTGCCGCTAGGGCAGTGCTTTCCATGGATGTTTGATCTTCTTGACAGTTCGGCAGACGCAGACGTGGCAGACGGCGTCCACCCGTTGGCTCACGTATCGTGTTTCAGGGCAAGTCTGGTCGAGGTGCCGGCTATAACAGGAGACGACGCACCTCAGGGTGCTTTCTCGTGGTCCAAGGGATTAGGTTCGATGACACGGCGATCAGGCATCCCGAAGGTTCGACAGTAGCAGGCTGATGCGGCATGCGAATGGGTCGTTATCTCTGCACCTATCTGGTACCTTACAGATGAAGAAGCACTTCCACTTTAGGCAATTCAGTCATCACGAAGATCGGGGTCCGCCTCGAATCATGCATGCCCCTGAATATGCAATTCACCGAGCTGCACCCCGCCCCCACCTTTCCTTCCCACCTCTCACGCTGTGTGACATGACAACGTTCCCCGCGTCAGGTCACGGCCATCGCTGTGCCTGCCTCAAACATCATCACTTCCCCTCATTGCCTGATCACCTGCTTCCTCGTGACACTCGGGTTGAGCACTGCGTCGTTTGACTCTCTCTCACCTTCTGTTACCTGGGGAAACGTCTTGACTGGGCAGAGAAATAACTAGATAGCCCTGAAGACTCCCAGCCCGTCGGCTCCCACAGCTCATGGCTTCCATCGAACACTGTCTCTATTGCTTCGAGGCTCTCGCTTCGCACCTCGAACGCCGCAAGGGCCGCTCCCTCCACGAGATCCAGCAGTCCTGGGCCGAGTACGCCAGGTCGCAGCCCGAGACGGGCGGCAAGAAGCAGATGCCCGCCCTCCAGCGCCTGACCGAGCCGTCAAGCGACGCCGGCTCCGCCTCGTCCGGGTCCTCGAGCAGCGCGTCCCTGGCCGCCGACACGCCGGCCACGTCGACGGCCTCGCTGCCGTCCCTCGTGACCGAGTCGCCGCTCTTCGTGACCTGGAACACCGTCGGCGGCGGGCCGTCGCGCCACCGCTCGCTGCGCGGCTGCATCGGCACCTTTGAGGCGCAGGACCTCGACGATGGCCTGTCCGAGTACGCCCTGACGTCGGCGCTGCACGACACGCGGTTCCCGCCCGTGGCCGCGTCCGAGCTGCCGACGCTCGAGGTCGCCGTGACGCTGCTGACCGACTTTGAGGACTGCGAGGGGGCCATGGACTGGACGCTCGGCGTGCACGGGCTGCGCATCAGCTTCGCGGCCAAGGGGCGCCGCTACGGCGCCACCTACCTGCCCGACGTCGCCGTCGAGCAGGAGTGGACCAAGGAGGAGACGCTCGTGAGCCTGATGCGCAAGGCCGGCTGGACGGCCGCAAGGACACCTGGCAGGACGTCGAGCTCATGTCGTGCGGTACCAGGG